GATAGTTCATAGCCGAGCGTAGCGTGTGAAACATAGAATTTTTTCTCCAAATGATATGAAACCAATTTTCTGTAATTTTTTATTGAAAATTCCATCATTTTGTGTTCATAAATGTCAGTGTCAATTTTGATTACTAATTTCATTAGAATTTCTTGGAACGTTGCATAGCAACAAACTTCTTCTGCCTAGGCAGTAAAAGTACACCTTTTCTGCCTGTTGAGCGGCAGAAAAGAGCCACTATCCCTACCGCTTGGAGAAAAACCGATTCTGTGTAATTATTTTTTTGAAAACTCCATCATTTCCTGTTCACCCGATGTCAGTGTCAATTTTGATCACTAATTTCATTAGAATTTCTTGGAACGTTGCATAGCAACGAACTTCTTCTGCCAAGGCAGTAAAAGTACACCTTTTCTGCCTGTTAAGAGGCAGAAAAAGCCACTGTCCCTGCCGTCTGATGGAGAACAATTTAATTCATCTCTGGTAGAAGTCCATGTTTGCTCAAAGTGGATTGTAATTTTTCATAAGGAAGAAGAAAAACTCAAGTCATCTCCACTACTTTATTACTAATGTGAATCAATCAAGGGGACATGTTTAGAACTCATTAAGTCCATCTACAGCCTTTTTTAGGAGTTAATGGAGGTGAAACAGTATTTCAAATTGGATGCCGATGTCTATCATTATAATAGCGTGGTTAAATTGTTGAATAAAGGAGTTGGAAAAGAACTGGTTTTCACCTCCATTAACTTCAAAAAACGGCTGAAGATGAACTTTCATAACTCCGAAACATATTCCCTTGACTGATTTACATCAGTCATATAGTAGTGGAGATGACTTTGAGCTTTCCTTCTTCCTTATGAATTCAATTGAACTTGGGATAATGAAATGGAAGCATGAATACTATATTTCGAAGTAAGATTGACAGATATGAAAATTTCAAGGAATTCTTTTTCTTGTTCGACAAAAAAACTGCAGCTGAATAACTTGAAGCATAACGCAAACATCACGCCTAAATCGAATACGTGAAACATTGAGAGCTAACAGAAGTAAACGCGATCTATACAGGGTGATACAGGGTATCGGGCTACCTCTCCAACTTCTGCATTCGTTAACGTATCTTCCTGAAACGTACAGTTTCGGATTTGATTACATTACAATATGTCGGACTTCGAGTTTTACTGCAAATGCTAGCAACTTTGTTTTTTCAAATGGAACACCCTGTTTATTTTTACATATTCTAGTTCAACAGGTCAAAACATGTGCGATATGAATCTGGAATGTAATCTATTTGAAAAAATAAAAGTAACATTATTTTCTTCATTTTACCTCCTGGATAACTGAGATGTGGTCAATAAAGAAACATAATTTTTTCACAACTATTACTTGACAAGATTCAAAAATGTTGTTTCCTACAGCATACTGCTTAGTTGATGAATCATTCGAGCTTTTTTTTTATCGCTTGGAGGCTCCAAGTTGGAGCGCACGAGAGGGAATCCCTATAATGTTCAAAGAACATCGTGCGCTGCAAAGGAATTCATGAAATTGTTGTTGAATTTTGATTTGCACCCTAATACACAAATGATATGTCATTCTAGGGAGACACGATCTTAGAGACACGCTACGCGTCATGGTCACCTTTGGTCCCTTGATATATAAATAGCTATTGTATGCTTACCTCGAATTGATTCCTTCTTTCAGCTGCTTCAATATCTCTTGTACTGTTAGTAGCTGGTTCATTCCATTCACCGTCTATGACGATGGACATTGGTGCTGAAAACAGAGTTGATAATAGAAATATACAGTGTGCTCGAACTAGCACTGGAGAAACGTTATAAAATTGGAATCAACAACTCCAGCCGACTAGTCGACATGGAATATTCATTTCGTCGTTTATAAACAGTTGATATTTAGCGCAGATCATCAAACAAATACGCAAATGACATCAGAATTGAGTCACTATATTAACAATAATATATATTTAAGTTCCACAAAATCATGGTCAAATTATTGCTTTAATAATATCTTCAAATGAGTTACTTGGGAATGATTATAGAAGATTGATTGATTGATATCTAATTCAATTTGACTCGGAATTAGACAGCCAAAAATCACTAACTGCAGTTTTTTTAAATATGAGTTTTGCGTCAAGGTTACAATGATATTTTGAGTAAATTTTTTCAATAGAAATGAAAAAAGCATTGTTCAAATATCTAACAGATAGCTACTTTCCTGGCTAATACCACAAAATTTTAAATTACATCTTTCAAATACAGACAAAAGTAGGTATTTATTTCATTCTGTTAGATATTAGATATGATTACCTATCTTATTTCTCAAAAAAACTGATACCCAACCAAGCAGTTATAAAATAAATATGTCATTATGTATACCTATTAGGGGACATCACCTAAAACGTCAGAATATGAAGTATCAAAATATAATCAAAGAGAATATAATTCATCAGATTGGTAATTCGTAGGAAACGTAATCGACATGAACTGTACTATGTAGGCACATTTTTCATCGCAATTTGAAACATAGAACCGTAATTTGTAGGAATCTATAAAAACAAAATATAAATCGTCGAAATGTAATCCATCAGGATGGTATCAAATGAGAACCGTATTCGATCAAAACACAAATTTTCCAGAATAGTTTTTCATCATGACGGTAATTCATCATAATCTTATTCTTCCGGAAGGGTGAACTATCAAAACCGTATTATCTAGAGATGGTAATCCAACAGAATCGTATTCGATGCGACAGTAAATCATCAGAATTTCATTTTATCAAAACCTCATTTTATAGGAAAGTTTTTCATCAAGTCAGTAATCTATCAGAATCGTGAGTCATCATAACATTTCATCAGGATCCTATAAAGTACATGCCTCCATTTCACTAAATGATTGATTACATTATGTTTTTACACATTCTGATGAAATGCTGCTCCGTTAAATTACGGTCCAGCTGAAATATCATTTTGATCAAATATATGCTGACACAATACGATTTTGATGAAATACTTTGTGACGAATTATATGCAGGCATATATTATAATATCGACACGTAAAATTGGACATTTTATTGTATATTGTTACTAGATCTTTCAAAACTGGAATTGTACCAGATAAAATGAAAATTGCTAAAGTCATACCGATACATAAAACTGGAAAGAGAGATGACCTTAATAACTACAGACCGATTTCAGTTCTCCCGAAACTCTAAAAAATTATTGAAAAAATGATGAATAAGCGTATTCTTGATTTTCTTGAAAATAATGGTATACTATACAGTGGTCAATATGGAATTCGCCGATCGAAAGACACTGAGGTAGCAGTTATGGATGTAATTTCGGATATTCAGTTTAAAATTGATCAAAATTATAAATGTGGTTTCTTGTCTTTAGATTTATGCAAAGCTTTCGATACTGTAAATCATGATATTTTACTGAGTCAAATATTTTCAATAGGTATCAGAGGAAAAATATTTGATTGGTTAAAAAAATCATCTGGAATATGAAAAGCAGTATATTAAAGTCAATAATATTCGTAGCTCCGTAAGGAAGATCAAATGTGGTGTACCACAAGGTTCCGTTTTAAGTCCAATTTTATTCTCAATTTACATCAATTCAATATCATCTTTGAAACTGAAAGGAGATCTGAAGTTATTTCTGATGATACTACAATAATCTATTCCTCGGAAGAATTCAACGATATAGTTGGAAATATAAAATAAGTGACTTATTGAAAATGATATCAACTTGGCTACAAATTCGTAAGCTGACTCTTAGCACGTTGGCTACCATATGAGTCTCATGTGATACACACTCTCATTTGCTGT